CTCCAACTGCAATGGATAATCCCAAAGGTTTTGTTGACATAATAGAAGAGTATTTTTGTCTTGTTCACTCATATTGCTGACAACTGAAGCATAACGCAGGAGGGAGAAGAGTGAAAAATCCCCAGAGGAAAACGACCACCTGTTCATACTACTTGATGGGAAGTCAACATCCTTTATTTATGCCTTCAATGGATTAGAAAAGATAAGATTGGTCAGATTAACAAAAAGTCCACGTTTTGATTTTAGTGTGGGATTTCCGTTTTTTTTTTTATGGCAAAACATGTTAAAATGAGATAAGTGTACATTTTAGACTTTTGTTGAATTCAAATTTTATGTTGCGGTTTTGGCAGATGCTAGACAGCAAAGACGAATCACAACCTAGAGTGTATTTGAATTTTAGAAAGTAGACCAGTCTAGATTTTTTAAAACATATATAATGCACTCATTCAAAAATTACGTACAAAATATAGTTTAAAACGAGGGTGTATGTTAAGCAGTTCAAGCTGAATTAATCCTAAATGTTTTTTTTGAAAGATAATGTTTGATTAATTGTATGGATGATATGTTTGATTAATATCAATGCAGCACTGCCTTGCAAATACTGAAGTAATAACTTGGTACATCAATCATTGGCAGTGTGTAAGGCTTCATACAGGGAGATTTTTGGCAAGCAAAAGCAGACCTAACAGCTATACAGTTTTGAACGGACTGTGGTGATAAACAACTTCGAAAAGATCACACAACAGTGCATTGACTATTCTGAGGTACATTTTCTTCGCTAATTTCTGTTATTTGGGAAATATCCCGAGGGCTTTAGGACCCAGGGGCTACTGAGGACTGCAGTGTATTCATAGCCGGGCTCCACCATTCTTCCAGTTCCACTCCTTTCCCATCCCCCCATTTTCATCGCGCTCTTCCGCAACAAAGCAGCGACACCCATCCCCACTCTAGACAGAGAGGCTTCTGGGTCAGTCACAAATCTGTCATGTCACACCTTTCATTGTGTTCGCTTTGAAATGTATGAAAGGAGGAGACTATAACGTAGTCAAGGTGGCATGTGGTGTTTGTCTGTGAAAGCTAACACATTTTAAAGTAAACATGGAGAGGTGGCCAGGTATTGGAGAAGAAATGCAGCTTCCTGACTGAGTGAGATAAATCAAAATACACCTGTAGTTCAGCGAGCAAATTTTAAGTTCGGACAGCAAAACAAAATGGCGAAAGAAGAGTTATGTAGAGGCACGAGCGCCACATTGAGGAAAGAAGTTTTAAAAATCGAACTCGCATCTACAAAATCATGCAAACGATGATCAGTGTTGATTTCAAAATAATTTTCTGTAAATAGCTAAACTGCAGTTGTTGTAACATTGTCTAACCGTTCTTACATTTAGCCATCGGTTTCTATGAATGTGGCCAGAATTGGCTGTCCACCAAAACCACATGCCCAGAACAGAGACGTCCCAGAGGCCTTTGGGAGCTCCAAAGTTGCAGTCCTTTCAATAATTCAGCAATCTGTAGTTATGTCATGCCAAACAGAGATCCTCAAATGCCAAATAAATAATGTGGCGATGAGACCAGAAGATTGGCCTTGTATTAGTTTGGTGGACTTGGTTCTGTCCCTACATAGCCTATTAATTGTGTCACAGTGTTGAACTAGGTTATCCTGAAAGAAAAATTGCTTCCTTCTGCTGGTTCCCCAACTCGAAGGATTTGTTTTTCCCACAGGACAACGCTCTAATCCACACAGCCAGGTCAATAAAGATGTGGATGGAGGACCACCAGATCAAGACTCTGTCATGGCCAGCCCAATCGTCTCATTTATAAACGAATCCCAGTCAGCGAAATATTGTCCTCCCCAAAATAACCATATATGCAGCTTACAAGGCCTATTTTCGCTATGCATTTACATATCATTTGCATATTCATATTCATCCACGTGATACCATGTTTAACAGTACAAGACATTCGAAAAACACGAGTTACAGATTTGCTGTCATTACATTGCTAAAAAATTGTTTAGTATCCTTGCCTTGTTTTTGAATAAATAAATTAAATAATATAAAATCTTTTCCACTGGCCAAATAGTATTTTTAACTGATTTATGTTTTAAATGGAAAAAGATAGGCCTTATTGTGAATTATTTGCACAACGACATTTTCTCAGACAATTTGCTATTATCATGACAAGCAATACTCTCTGTAGTTAAAGGGGTCATGAACTGGCTTTTTAAATTGTATTATATTGTTGTCTGAGGTCAATTTATGACGTTCGCTTGGTTTTTGCATTCAAAAACATCAAAATTAATAAGTATTAGGCTATTTTGTCGCACTAAAGAGTTGGAAATAAACGCCCACTGCTGCGAGTGGATGACAGTTTTGCATATTATAATGAGTTTAACTCACCCGTCGGTGTACGTGGGGGAAAACGTCCAATGTTGTCAAATGGCAACCGGATTCGCCGACATGTTCGACCCAGAGTCCGTGTGTTGCACAATTCCTGTCAGATCCAATATAGACGGCACAGCACCGTTCTTTACTCTTAATCGGTCCTCTGCAAATCCAGTCTTGCTTACAAAACAATCCTCAGTGAAATGAAGGAACAGACGACGATGTTTTACCCTCATCAGCTGGAACGTCATTAAAAATAAAGTTTATCCATGCAGTCCTATTGGAATCCAGAGGAAGCTTATGCAGTGACTGTCTTCCACAACCAGGCACTGCAAAATATTCTGTATTGCTCGGTTGCTCGATCCGGTTTGTCATCACGAGGTAGGCACGTATGTTAGGCTACTTAGCTATGCGTGTAATGCGCGAATCGGTGGGCGGGGCTAAACCGGCCTTGTTGAAGTAGGCGTTGATCTTCTTCTGCGGGGGTGGTGTTTTAACTCCTTCGACGTCATAGTTTCCCACTTTTAAAAACGAGACGTTCCCAGATAGCAAACTGACATTGAATCAACGTGGAAATATGACATCGAAACAACGTTGATCTGACATTGTTTTGCTCATCGAATTAACGTTGAACCAACGTCAGACGCGTCATTCTTTCAAAACTAACGGAAAATCAACATAAAATCAACGCGTTGTTTCAACGTTATGAAAGCAAACCAATTTTCGATTTTATTTAGCTTTGAAGAATGCCGCGTCTGACGTTGGTTCAACGTTAATTCGATGAGCAAATCAACGTTGTTTCAATGTCATGAGAGATGTCGTTTCCACGTTGATTCAATGTCAGTTTGCTGTCTGGGTTTTCAGAGGCTGGCGTCAATAAAGGCTTTTATTGGACTAACAAGGATGTTTTCAGTTCTCAAACTTACAGGAGATTCTTATAATATGATGACCTCTTAGATGTCAAAAGCTCAAGGAAATTTTGATTTCTCAATTCACCACCCCTTTAAACATTACAACCCACCATGCCACATTATCTTGCTGTATAATTTTCTTAAAAAGTTCTGTCTAAAGGTTACCAAAAAGTCTAACTCCAGCTCACCATCGGTGTCGCCAAACTGTGCCGTCTCCAAATGTTCGTACACATGGGTCAGAGTTTGCGTGAAGCTGCGCAAATTTTGGCTGAGACAAGATTGTTTTTATACAATGTTTTAACTTATGCATCAAAACTGGTGTAGTCAGAGAGGCGTCTCTTTCAGGGCATGTTTTGTGCATATACAGCGGTTATAAATGAGGCCCCTAAACCCTACTCAATACCTCAGGAATGTGATCAAGAGGAACATGGAAGGCCACGAGCCATCAAACAAGCCGAACTTCCGGCCCAGATCCGGCCCACATCTGGTACACGTGGATTCCGCACATCTGGGCCAACACTAATACTTTTCCAGAGCTGTATATTCTACAGTGTTTGAAACAAAGAAGTTATTCCAAACGACTTGGCCTCAAGAATTATTGGTGTTAATCAAATCATTCCTTTTGCCACAATATACAATGATAAACATGGACATATTTGCATCTTCCCTTTTACAAACCTTCGTTACATCTAAAAAAAGAGCCTTTAAACACCCTACAGTGATTTCCAATTATTGCTTCTAGCAGCTTTATTTTAATCTGGCAAGACTGGCATTTCTCCAAATTCACATGCCAAGACCAGAAAAGCCAGTGAAATGGAGGCCACCAAGTGGCCTATGGCAACTTAAAAGAAACTGTGGTCCACCATGACAGATGGTTGAAATAAAACACAAGGTAACACGAGCCTTACGCATTTCACAAATGTAGAAGAAAGTTATCGCGTCATGGGTGGAATTCGCCCAATGGCACGTGAAAGATTCAATGTCATTCAAGCTGGAAAAATTTGAGATACTGAAATGTTAAACAAAGACTTAACGGTGTGATGAGGCCAGACTTTTCAAAACGTTCATGCTTTGATGGCAAACTCTACGTTGGCTGATTTTGTGGTAGAGCATCATGTTTTGGCTGCTTCTCTTTTACAAGGCTGGAAAATGAATGGACCAATAGACAAATCATCCTGGTGGAAAATCTTCTGCCTTTTACAATAGCACTGGGAAGGATAAGATGGTTCAATCTTCTAACACAATTAAAATCCATCTTGGGGTTTGAGATTTATTGTAAAATAATATTTTTATGGATTTACTAATTTGCAGTGGTATTTGGCACAAAGTTTGCTAAACCCTAAACCCTTTATTATTGTATCAGTAACATCAATATGGCAAAACAGAACGTTAAAGTTTTTTTTTAATATACTAATAATCAGAATAAGCAATTCATCAGACAGCTAACATCTGCCAAGTTCATTAGCCAAACATTAAGTATTTATGGTTGCCAAGCAACTTTGAATAGTAATATACAATTAAATTTGTGCAATCTGGTGTGTATATTAGATATTTCAAAGCTGCTTTGAACAACTACATTTCATTTTTCATTGCCCATTATGAAATCATGACCAAGCCTGATAAAACGGCTAATGGAGATATCAAAATGACATTTTTGATTTGACGTTGCCCTGTTCACACTGAGACCCCAATAATCTACACCAAACATTTCTCAAACATATTTTAATTCACAACTCGATAACAGTAACTAAAGATACAACACTGACATTTACAGCTTTTGAGTGTCACAGATTCAACTGGATGGAAATAAAAACTGAAAAACAGGAAAATAAATTCTGCTTGTATTTTGCACCGTGGATGAAAGGACCAATATTTTGGTTAACTAACGATTTAAATCTCAATTGCCTTGTGGCACCAATAAACTGCTGCATTGCCATAGTCTACTTTAGCTTGGGGAAAAAAAGAAAAAAAAAGTATAAATCAAAGGTCTTAGGCGTTGCAGAATGCTAACTTCAATTTCACGTATCTCTTCCTCCTTTTGCGCATAAGAAGCAAATTTCCATCCTGTTGTGCCTTGCTCTATGCACATAAATCATGAACATCCTCAACAAATGAAACCTGGTGAGACAGAAAATTGACATTAATCAAATATCTTGAGCAAGACTTGATGGACAACCTGAATGCATTTTGCCTTCTCCAATAAGATACTACCATTAGAAGTCACTTTAATTAGTGCTGGATCAAGACCACTGTATTGGAGATCAGATTATAATTTTTAGAATCTGGTTAAATGTGTAGAAGGCAATCAAGATGGCAACAATTTAAACAGACACATGGACCAACCAACTCCTGGATGTATGGAATGAAAGATATACATAATTAACTACAGGTTTAAGGACAACAACATTATCCTATTCAAGTGTTTGAGGTACGTTCAGTCAATGGACTGGCAAGTCCACTGCTTGACAGGAGGCTGAGAACTCAGAAAATGAAGCAATTTTTGTTTGTTTGTTTTTTCAATTCCTTGTGTTCATGGCACCAACACAACTTTGAAGAAATGAAATACCAGGGTTGGCACATTAAAATAAAAATTTGAAAAATTTATGAGTAGTGGATTGCAGAATGAAACGAGTACATTGAGAAGGAAAGAGTACAAAGATTCTGTTATTTTTCACTCTTCTCAAAGAATAAGGCCATTTATTTTGCCCTGAAATTAAATTAATATTCCAAAAAAGTGCCCCCAAATTGAACATGTTAGAATCTAAACCAAAATATATGCAGTCTATGCCGGCAGACTAACATATTACAAAACTGGTGATGTCAACAACAAAAAAAACATGGGCAACATTGACATCAACAGGATCGAAGGATGTAGAAAACCATAAGGATCAACTTAGTTTAGGCTATCATTGTCTTTTCAAGCAGTAGCATGTAATAAATCACTCTACAAATTCAGTCTGTTCCCATTATCCAGTAAGACAGCAGTCCATGCCCACAATATTCCAACAAAAGGAGCACTCTGGGAACTGCATAGTCATAAATAAGGGTTTGTTTATCAGTCCAATCCTTCAGAAGTTAGATAAAAAAATACAAAAAAGTTTGGGATGTGTTGGGGAAACAAAATACTGTGAGAGCAGGAAAAAAAGCATCCCATCTTTGGATTATGATGTCAGTAACTACTTGACGATAATTGCAAAATTTGGAGGTAACCATAATGCTCCCATCCAGAGTTAACCTAGGGTTCGTTTCCAAGAAAATGCAACTCTGCAAAACAAGAAAACTTAACAAAAGAGGAAACAAAAACAAATCCCCAGCAAAAGTCTATACAGAGTCAAGAAGGGGATGGATCTGTATCACAGGCGACAAGTTAACTTGCAAGATTTTCTGTGCCTTCCTCCTCACCTCCTCGTCTGTGACAGAATCGTCGACTTTTATAACCTTCCACTCGAGACCATTCCCATTCAGTCTAGAAACGTCTTGTCCATTGGCGAGTGTCGACTGGGACCAGTTGAAGCTTTGAAAATGGAGTCTCCTCACTGAACCATTGTCCAGACCACTGGTCATCACATCAGGTTTACCTGATACCATTTCGATGTTCTTATAAATGCTACCATCTTTAAGACCAAACCCATTTTGACAGACTACTGGGGCTGAGTCTCCAATAAGGGCATCATCTACTTTGAACGGACATGACAAAATGCGTTTGTTGTCCAAGGCAACTACGTTCGATGTATGACTGCCATTTTCTGTGGGAGAGTACGGAATTCCAGAGCGATCTGGTGGCCGTCCCACAGCAAAACTGGGTGCGCTTTTCGAATCTGCACCAAAGTGAATTTGCAACCTTGCTGTGTGGCCTCCGCTCAAACCCTTTATGTTTGTTAGCTTGAGGCACTGTTGCGCTTGAACGGAATGTTTATCTAGCATTGCCTTTGCAACATTCTGCTTAAGGCGGTCCACCGAGAGATTGGTAAGCAGAATCTTGGGTTGGTTTTGGAGAATGTCCTTTGCCGCTCTACTGAGCATCGAGTAATTCACATCCTTGATTTTGCCCAAACCTTTCCGTGCTCGCTTCTTGCAAGGTTTCTGCACCTTCTGAATCTTGCTGCCAATCTTGGAAGAGATTGGCTCCGTGGTGCAAGACGTGTATCCGTACACATCTTTGCTCCTCAAAATTACAGGCTTGGCTCCTTCTTTCCTCAGCTCTTGAAGAAAGGTCATCATTTGTCTCTCAGTGTTCGACAGATCCTTGGACATGGGGTTAAAGACCCTCATGGCCTCTTCGAGGGCAGTGTGTCCAGCTGGGGCAAATCTGGCCCAGGAATGGACTACCCTCCCCATGCCCTGCTCTTCAAAATTCATGGTGCACCTTCACAGCTGGTATGCATAAGGACTTCAGGTGTCTGTGAATATGAAAAGGATATGGTGATGATTTACAGATGCACATATGAATTACTGTATATAGTAAGTAGTATAAAAAAACTTTCAAAGGTAGTGTACATTTTAAAGGTGGAGTATGAATTCTGCAAAAATTACAACCAAATGGATTAGCAAAAATACTGTTTTTAAACAGGTTTCCCAACTGCAGTACCATCACAAACACAATGTTGGGCTGCTCAAACAAACAGTTAACATTCTTCTGTAAAAGAGCAACAAAATGTTTAGCAAAAGATTAAGTGTGTTTTATTAAAACAGTAGAAGTTCAACTGGGTTGGCCATAACATATCAGCAGACGTTTCAGACAAGCATTTTGGATTGTATCTTTATAGATATAGACCTAGATTTAAACTACTCACTCTAAAACATGCAAACAGAGGAAATGAAACAGAGTAAAATCACTCACAGCTCTTGAAAGGAAAACATTCAGATATAGTCTAACTGAAATATACTGAAAGCACTTTGTTTATTGCGTGTATTATGTTCTTTGTTCCTCTTTTTTTACTAGCTTTATGTAAAAGTATTTTAATTGTCACGATTTCGTTTTTAAATCGAAATCGTGACACCCTTAACGGCAACGAACGCTTTACAGTGTCAAGACAGAAAGAATAGCAAGTGTAATTTTTTTCCCATGATGTTGACCAATAATAGCACAGAAGCTCTTCCGAACACAACTTTCAAACATGGCAAAACAAAAGAGACACTATGGTATTGGTGTTGCTAGGTGGAATTATGCAATAGAAGAAAGGTATATTGAGCTATGGCAACAGTACTCCTCAAGGGACTACAACGACAAAGTGAAAAAAGAAATGCTGGCAGAAGCACTGCAATAACCCAGTGAGTACTGAAATTAGCACTAAGCTAGTACAACCATTGTTTGTTAATGCTCGTTTCCAAAAGTCAGTGGCTAGTTCCGGCTTCAATGACATCACGCACAGTCTCTGGTTGTGCGTGTTGTGGCTTCACAAATGCTTTGCTGCATCCTTCGGTTGAAACGAGTGGTTATTTCAGTCAAAGTTGCTCTTCTATCAGCTATCAGTCGACCCATTCTCCTCTGACCTCTAGCATCAACAAGGCATTTTCGCCCACAGGACTGCCGCATTCTGGATGTTTTTCCCTTTTCACACCATTCTTTGTAAACCCTAATAAATGGTTGTGCGTGAAAATCCCAGTAACCGAGCAGATTGTGAAATTCTCAGAACAACCTGTCTAGCACGAACAACCATGCCACGCTTAAAAATGCTAAAATCACCGTTCTTTCCTATTCTGACAATCAATTTGTAGTTCAGGAGATTGTTTTGACCAGGACCACACCCCTAAATGCATTGAAGCAACTGCCATGTGATTGGTTGAAAAGATAATTTGATAATTTAGTTTGCAGGATATCAGCACCCCTGTCATACATGAGAGGACGACTTGCACAGTAAGTGATGAACAATGATACTTGTGAACCCGGTCAGACTAACCAGCATAAGAGAGATAAGAACCTCCAAGGGCACACCTGGAGTTAAAAGGCAGAGAGCTTGTGAGAAAACTACATAAAAACAGACCTATGCTTTGCATTGGAAAGATTAACTGGTACAGTTGAAAAGAAGCTGGATAAATTTGGGGACACCATTTGATGCTTATGGAAGTTAGAGGTTTGGTGTGGAGAAAAGGAAGGATAAAGTACAAACTACTAATGGAAAGTCTAGACATGAGCAGAAGATTGAAGGGTTAATTAGAGAAAGGAGACAGCTGAGGAAGCAATGGAGAAGAGCAGAAGAATGTCAGAAGGAGGGACTCAATCTCTAACAAAGGGCCACATAAGATAAGCTTGCAACACTGCACAGAACTGAGCACCTACAGAAACGCTACAAGGAGAGTGCGAGAGCTAATTTCTATAAAGACCCAAATTCGTAAAGAAGTTATTCGTCATTGAGAAGAATAGCACATTAAAAGCATCTAAGGTTGAGCTGGAGAGATATTTGGAGGAAACACATACATGCAAAAAGGCATGAGCCTAAGTCAATTTCGTCAGACATCCCGCCTATCAATCTGAGAAACCAGTCAAGAGTCTGAGGAGAGGGTACGATGGGGATCTAAAGGACACAGTTCGAGTGGGAAAAGTTAGACGTCAAGCAGTAGAAGGGTTGAGTATAAACAGCTGTGCTCTACCAGGCAAACTAAAACTCTGGTGCTTTCAGATTGGTCTACTTCAGAAGTTGCTGTGGCCACTGATAGAGTTGTTCTGATTCCGATACTAGTATCGGAAATGCTGCCGATACCAATAAAAACTCTGGCATCGGTATCAGCGAGTACTTCTACCCGAGTACCAATCCGATTCCATTTTCTTAGACAATATTTAGTTATGCACGCTAGCTTTGCGTAACGCTGCAAATCGAAGATCAATTCTTCTTCGCTGCTCTAAACAGTGGTTGCTTGTGGCAACACAGGAAGTCGTGCTGTTGCCACAAGCAACCACTCTTTAGCACGCGCGCTAGCAGTATGTCATGTACGCAGTTTGGCAGTTTTTCAGACTGGACCACCCAGCCAGTAAAACGGCGACATGTCTCATATGCCATACTACAATTTCAAGGGGCGTAAAAAGCATTGGCAACTTCACCACAAGTAAGTTAAGCATTTGAAGACAAGTCACTCCGCAAAACATGATTACACATAGGCAAGAGCAGAGAAGAATGAGCCGCGCCAGAATCAACAATCTCTGAAAGCGAACCACATTAAATGGATAAAAAATAGGCCAATAAATATTGGTGGCTGATACATCAGTTTTTTGCTAGTTCATATCCCATTGGCTGGTCTGTTTTCTTTGGGGTTCTGTAAAACAACAAAAAAAAAACGTTAAGATTTGTTTGCACCTGGTGTGAATGGAACCACTCAATGGCCTCTTTAGACCCCTCTCATTCTCAAAAGTTTATGCAAAGGAAGTTAATGATGTTTCTGCCATGGTTGATCAGATCACAAAATATGTTTTGGATCTCATTTATACTTGTATGTTGCCTCGTCCACCAGAGACAGATGTTAATTTTAGGTGTAAATAGCTAACCAATATAGTACTAGCTCAAAGACACCATCGTTTTCACCTACTCCATTCCATTTTCAAATGTAAATGAAGCTTACAACTGATATTTGGTGAAAAACTATTGTAGATCACCAACAGTCTAAAATGACATTTTACAAATGCAAATATCAAATAGCCTAGATGTCTTATTGGCAAGTGACCTATCAGGGTATGAGAACAAATAAATAGCTAGAATTTACAAATCAGTGAGGTTTTTGTTAATCTGTAAATTAATCATACTTTAGTCTTTCATCAACCAAAGCTTCATTGTGGGTGTGAATAGCTTCATAGGAATGCATTGTTTCTAATCGAAACATTTTTTGTGGTGAATAAGATTGTGAATTGCCAGACGAATCAGGGAGCCGGTCCTTAAGGCCATTGTCTTATTGGGTTTTGCTCCAACCCACATCAAACACACCTGAAAACACTACCGTAATTTAAGTCTTCAGGATTAGCTGCACATTAGAGGCAGCTGTATTTTATTAGTGTTGGAACTAAACGCTTCAGGAAACTAGAAATTATGGAAGCTCTTTCTATCGCATGTTAGTTGTTGCTTTGAGCACATTTTTGGATTCTGAAATATGTCAGAACACGGTTAGAAGCACAAGTATGCCCTACTCCAGCAATACCACTAGGGGTGTTTCAGCAGACATAAGCACCAAGACGTGAGCTTAGAATTATAAGGTTCTATCTCCGTTTAGGGTAGTTCTGAGATATTGAGCATCAAAGTTTTTACATCCCAGCTGGCAAAACTGTTATGTAGTATAATCTTCTATTATAGCTCAACAAGACCATCACCCTACAGGTACTTTGTGAATAAAATATAAAAATCCTGGCACATTTGGAAATGTGATTTTTTAAGATGACCCCAATGGAGATAGAACCTTTTAAGTCTGAGAGCTCTGATTCTGTTTGAAATTATAAGGTTCTATCTCCACTTTTACAAATAAAACCCCACATTTCAAAGAATAATTGTATATAACCATTGATAATATAATATAATACTATAGTATCAAAGCCAAGCAAGCAAGTTTGTAAGAAAAAATAATATTTTCAAAGAACATGGAGTAATTACACAATACTACACCTCACTCCTCTGTACTGTAAAAAAACATTTAGGAAGCATCTTACATTAAAAACGTTTAATTTAGTAGATTAACACAAAATATTGTAACATCATGAAAATTATGTTTTCATCCCTTATTATTCTGTATGTCTGTTTTGTTATGTATGATGTACTTCATGTTATGTAATTTATGTTGTCATCATGACTCTTTCCAACCTTCTATCTTTACTTTCTAAATACTGCCTTGTAGTATGCTTTGTCAACTGCAGGCATGTACTTGAACATGGATAAATATTAGACAGATTAGACAATGGGACCCACTGAGGCACTGTCCAGGACTCAACAGGATAAACAGCAGTGGCGCCTCCAGAAATTTTTCGTAGGGGTGGCCAGATGGGGCCAGTTAAAATCTTGGGGTGGCACACCAAAACTACAGTATAAACCATAATTTCAGAATTGTTTTCTACTGTTGTAGTAAACCAGCCTGTAGAAAACTATCAGAAAGACTTAAGGAAACATATCCTACTGATATACTTTGGTTTATTGTGTAATATTTAATGTTACTAATGATATTAGGGCCCAACTAATATTACATTGTATATAATGATATATATTATATGATATAAGGGTCCTTGCCCCACAGCAAATTTCCAGATACTTACATAATTGTGATGAATTTAATCATTTTTAAGTTATTATTTTGCAGTGTAAGATTACAGTTAACACCTTTAAATATTACATAAATGTATTATGAATTTTTAATACACTTAATGAGTGTATACATCAGCAGCAAAAAGTAATTCTTGAAAAAATCTGCACAGTAATTTTATAAAATCTAA